CCAGAGAAACCCGGGCAACTGCGCTGCTGCTTTAAACTTTGCAATAAGTTTTGTGCAAAAAGCGTACAAAGCAAACAGCTGCTGGGTTAATTAAGAAATGACTGAGGGAGGCCAGTTGATTGCTAATGATGTATGCAGTTTAAGTGTGGCAGTGGTGGTCTTTTACGTGAATACCGACATATATTCCCCAGTTAAGAACCTCATATTTAGAGGTTCTGAAAAAGGCTTGGGAAACACCTTCTCTTTCTTAAACCGATTGCATCAGTTCTGAACTGAATGTTACTTGACTCGCACTGGGAGGAAAAAAAGATGTCATGAACACAGAGTGACAAGTCTTGAGATTTTGGTTTTACAGTATGTAACTTGAAGAGGAACTGTTCAAGCTAATTGGAGCTGCAGCCTGATGACTGCAGCCAGGAGCTGCCAGCAGCCAACCTCATCCGAGGCCGAGCGCGGCGGAGAGGAGCTGAGCCCATAAGACGGAGGTGGCCCCTCCGAGCAGCGGGCGTGCGAGGCAGGTTCTGGAAGCCACAGCGGTGACATGGAGCGGTTGTGTTGTGGACAGGGCTTGGGCTGCTCAAAGGGAGCCGAAGCAAATCGGGAGCCTACGAAGCCAGGCACCGCGTGTCTGGGTGTTCAGTGAATCCTTTTAAAGCACAAACCTGACTTTGGTTGCTTTGTTTGATCTCCTTTCTGTTCTGCTGATAGTGTTGTGAGTTAGTTGCAGTGATCTTTATTCAGGAAGCATCAATAATGTTTAATTCTGTGCTCCTGAGGACAATCCAGACGTTCTGAAGGTGCCTTTTCACTGCCAGGACAGGGAACTCGAGCTCTTGACCAGGTGTTCTGAAACACTGTAGTCAGATGCTTGAAAGCAGACAGCAGCTTTTATCTCAGGATCTTTGTGGTTGCCTGAAGAATAAGGTACAGACCAGGATTGTGTTAGGAGTCCTGAGGCTTTCGCAAGGATTAGCTGACTTGCTTTAGCTGTCAGCATTGTATTTTAGATTTAACTGACGCGTGCACGTGGTGATTGTGAATTGGTTCTTTCACAGCGTGCACGGTGGAATTCTGTTTTCCTTGAATATCTTCTAGTCCAAGAAATCTTGCTGCAGTGAGGGAGTGTTGTAAGGCTCGTGCTATTTTTCATGCATTAACGTTTGGGGTAGGTCTTGGTTTTCACTTGCAGCCTGGGCCAGCATGCTGTTGACAATCAATAATTAAGGTGCATTGGGAATATTATTAAATGCATTGTGAAAAATATGATTGATAATGGCCTTGCTGTGCCTGCTTTGGGTTTTGGTCAGTTGGGCATGTAATATATTAGTAATTTATTGGGAAAATGGAAATCTGTGCATTTCAGGTGGGTGAAGTGCTGCCCTAATTGTTGCCAGCGATGTTTCCTAGCTAGAAAACCAGGACTGTGTGAAGCACTGAGTCTTGCTGGCCCTCTTTTTTTAGCAGGTGAGGCTTCCTGCTTCCCTCTAGGTACAAACTCCCCAAATTGTCACAGCTCACACGGAAGCGATGGACACCATTGACACAGGTGAGGGTGGTACCATCTTCATACGGCACAGCCGTGCATTTGCTTTGCCGAGGGATGAAGGAGGCCCCCCTGGCTCTGGGGTGCTCGTACTGGCTGATGGAAAAGCCATGCTGCGTTCAGCAGAAGTAACTCTCCGGTGACCATTAAAGCTCATGTGTGCTTTGAGAATTACCTGGGACGTTCGGAGGACTGAACCGTTGTTAGGTGGTATCCTGCAGTCGGTGCCAAAGGAGCTCTGCCTGTTGCTTTTGGTGTGACACCAGCTTTCTCTCTTTTTTTTTGGGTTTCCTTCGCAGCCTGGATAAGCTTTGAAAAGGTGGCAGGTAACTGCCCTGGCACGTGGCCGAGTGCACTGCAGATGCGTGTTTCCCTGCCTGTTGTGTCCCCCAGCCAGCACAAGGCTTCCCTTTGCCAACCTCCCATAGGTTTGCTGACCTTCGCTTTTTTCCCCTCTGCTTACATTTCCACTTCTGGAAAATGTTTCCATTCTCACCTCACAAGTTTTATTAAATTTTCTCTTAAGATTTTTCACTTAGGTTCCCTTTTAGAGAGTCTGCTCTGGGAAATCCGTCACAAACTCAGTGTTAATACTTCGGTTGCAGGATAATTTGAATTAAAACAGAATGCTTTAACAGAAACTCTGAGGACTTTAATTTTTATTGGCTTAACTGAATCTGTTAAACGTAATTTAGGCTGTTAGAATAAGAAAAATACTCTTTGCCATCCTTTTGAAAAGATGCTTCGATAGTCAATTTTGAGGACTTGCTGGAGGAGAATCTTTGATCCACATTTGTTGAAATTAGAGGGAAGCTCTGCTGAGGAGGACAGCTTTGTCAGCTCATGGATACCAGCGAGTGTTCCTAACCTTTGTAACTCTGTAAAGCTTTAACCTCATCATGAAAGTTCCCGATAGCAGCTGGGAGGATTGTTCTGCAGCCAATCAAACGGGCTCGGGTTTTGTTAGCCTCAGTTAAATAAGCAAGGATTGATATTTTGGCCTTCTCTTCAGAAGAGCCGCTTGCCAGACTGGAGCAGCGCTGCTCCTGGAGCATAGCGGGCTGTATTTTCAAAAAGCTTATGTAAATTAGGGACTTTTTATCCTCTCGGAGTCCATGGTGTCTTGCTACTAAGACGCATGACATCAGGGCTGGGTCTTGCAGAATTACATTACAGGTCATTAAGTGTTTCTAGAACAAAGAGGAAGTAGCCCACGCTCTGTTTCAGGTGTGGATTTCAGCCGTTGTATTAATAGGTCCCCTCATCGCTTTATCAGCCTGAATCTGTTTATCTGCTTAGCACATTTCACTTGGACCTGTGATTTCTGAACTTCCATGTTACCACGTGTGTCTTTCGGTATTTGCCAAAGCGAGTAACATCATCTGCCATGCTCGGAGCTGCTTTTTACTTCTGATCGCCTCCAGAACTGCAGTAATCTCCCCAAAACGTTTCAGTTTCACTTTATCATACTTATTCCTTAAAATTACTTTCAGCTTGAGCTAAATGCTAACCTCAAAGACGTAAGGTAGTGAGGCAGTGTTTATTTTTATAAAATAATGAATCATCTCCCAGACGTGTCTTGTCTTTTTTCGCTTTGATGAAAAGCAAATCCAAAGCAGCAGTGGAATCTGCCAGGTTTTGGTTCTGGAGAAGGTGCCCCCGCTGACAGGTAACGCTGCGTCACAGGAGTGACCAGCAGTTGCGCCGAGTTAGGTTTTGAACTTGCTGAACTACACTGACAGCAAGAGCGTGTGGGTGCAACAGGTTACCGGGTTTTTCTTCTGCGGTTGTTTTGTCAGAGAACAATTAGTCTGAAAACCAAGAAGGGAAATGTACGTGTGTGCTTTCACACCGAACTATTTCCAGCTCTTCTTGCTGTTTCCAGCTGTGTTCTTCTGCTAAGATTAATGAACAGGGTTGGGGGGGGGGGGAGCTCAGTTGCTGTGTAGATTAAATCTGTTGTGCATGGGGGATTTTGAATAGGGCCTTGCAAAAATTGTGATCTTTGTTTTTCCTTCTCTCGTGATTGTCTTGAACCTCTCCAGTGTTTGGAGGCTTTTTGTTACTGAATTTGGGCTTGTCCTTGCAGCAAATAGGTTTGGAATTAGGTGTGACCTTGGCAGAGGAATTATCTCTAAAGCTATTGCAACTGCTTCCTTATCCTTTGCTTTATGTTTGAGACCTGGTAGTAAGCCGCTCCTTAACTTCAGAATCTGGGAGGCTGGCCTCTGAAACATCAAACTTCCTTCTTTGTGAGATAGGAGCTAGGATTCATGGCTTTTGCCTTTTAAATTCAAGCAAATGGCACAAATTAAGTGGACTGTTGTTCAGTGTCTGAAGTGACCTGTTTGGAGGAATCTCAGTTGCTTGTAGGGTGTTAAGAATTCTTGGGAGGAGAATTTTTGCAAAAACATAGGTTTCTTGTCTACGTGGAAGGAGTTAGTTTTGTCCTGGTAGAGCAAGAGCCATTGCAATGCTTATCCTCTGTGCTGTTGCTGGATTGTGGGACTCCTTACTCAAATGCCTTTGAGCTTCTGTGCCATCTTTTGCTGTAGAAATTAGTGTTTATCTCTGTCAGGGTCCAGGCTGGAATCCAGCAGTTTCTCTTGTCTGTCTCATTAATTGTTCACCCTCTAACGATGGTCCTTGTTGGCCCGTCTCAAAGTGAGATGATCCTGTTCCCCCCTCCCAGCAGGCTGTGACGGTGTGTGTGTGCGCCTTGGCACTTCAAAAATTTTAATCTCCTTGGTTACAGGTTTAAGGAAATGATTAGCGTTCATTGATGTGTATAAGACGTAGGTAAACTGGCGGGGAAGTTGGGTAGTACACAGGTAAGTTTGTGAGGAATCCTGGCATAGCGTAGGTGATGCTTGGTTAGTATAGATGTCACTAATTCAGTAAGTCATTAGTTTCTTCTCCTTGAAATATGTTTTTTTACCTTCCTTTCTAGGAAGGGGTCTGGAGGAGGGAAAATTTCCCTTTCTGGTGAAAGGGGACTGGAGCATAATGACAGTCAAGTCTTTAAAAGCTTATGAGTTACCAGAGTCCTTGACGGCTAGCCGCTTCCTCTGCTGATGTTGTCGGATGTCAATAAAGAGAGGTTGAAGGCAACACTTCTAATGGAGGTAGAAATGAAATACTTGGAAAATACCAAGGATTTTCCTGTTTTGATTAATGAACAATCAATAGGTGTTTAATAGCTGGTTAGACACTTGAGATGTGGAACTCTATAGAAAATCACTAAATTCACCTGTATTGTCTGGTTTGACTTCTAAAGCATCTTTGGATTATTTTTCCTAATAAAAGTGTTCCGGTCTCTTCAGCAGGTAACATCGAAAGGTGCTGGCTTAAACCCTAATGCAAAAGTGTGGCAAGAAGTACCCCAAGGGAGTGGTGAGGCTGTGCCACCAACAAATGGCGCAGAGCACTCCTGGCAAGAAACAGCGGCTGCACAAGGGACTCACACCGAGGGTGAGATGTCGCGGGCCCGTGTTCAACGCTCGTTGCGATACGTCCCTTGCTAGGTAGTGCTGAGGGTTCTCTGGAAGACTTCAGCAGTGAGAAGCAACCTCTTGCTCTTGAATATGAAATGAATGTGTGAAGGCAGCAGTTCCTGGAGATTATGGGTCTGACCAGTGAGTTTTGGTTTAGGGATTCAAGGTGTTCAGAGCTGCGCTCGGATGGAATAAGTCAGCAAGTAACAGGATCCAAGGGGCCCGGTGATGACTGAGTAACGCGCTAAGAGGGAAACAAGATGCTAAATGTGTAGAAATGGATTCATGACATGTCTTGTTCGCCATCGCTGCACTTTAGTTACTCTTGACCCTGTGAACAGGAAGACAAGATCTGAGGGCCACCTACAATCCTGGTAGATCGCTGAGGTGCTGCCGAGAACTGTTAGACAGTAGCGTTTGTACTGGAGCAGAAACTGCAAAGCATCCGTGCTCGGCTTCTTTCAGTTTAGTCTGTATTCCATTTCAGTCCCTGTTTTCCATCCTTACCACGTGGTAAGTCCTGTCTAATACTAAATATTCAAATGGTTCAACTCTTCTGATTTGGCTTAGGCTTGGTATGAAGCCAATTGTGTAGCTGAGGTTACTCAAAATACGGCAGAGGCCTGTTAAGTAGGAAGCAGAAGATTCCCTGGAAAAAGGTTTAGGGTTAAAGAAGGGAGGATTCGGTTTGTGTGGCCCTGTCAAAAGCTTCTGGACAGTCAGCAGAAGTTTGTGCACTGGCTCAGAGAACCTCGTTTGTCTCGTCATAACAATATGAAGCAATCATGGCAGCGTTAACGCTGCTGGAAAATGAAACGCGGTTTTTCCAAATACGTTGTTCTTGCCTATAAGCAAATTCTAACGTAAGCAACTGAATAGTATCTCTTCTCAAAGTCTGTTTTTTAGTGGATTCATCATTAGTGTGGAAAAGATCTAGCGGAGCAGTTGATTTTTTTTTTTTTGAACAATCTCCTTTGCCTGACTGTCAGATTAAACTGACATTGCGCTTGTTTCTGTCGCAGGCAGCTGTGGTGAAGACTCAGCTGGGGTGTCCTGAACAAGAGATTGGCCAATTTCAATGGCATTCCACTGCTTTATAACAACTGCTAGGTGCTCCCGAGTCCTTTGTACACATACGAATCATGTAATATGTTGAAGTGATGTAAACTATTCTAGTGCTTTGTTTTTAGGAACCTTGTTTAAATATCAGGTGGAAAGCCTGGTTTTTAGATCCTCTGCCACTTTGGGGGATCTTTTTATTTCATGATCTTATTATTTACTTATCCCTGAAACCCTAGTGCCAACCAGATCTTTCTGAATTGGAGAGGTAGAAAGTGCTATCTGCTACAAAGTAGACACTGAAAGTCTAAGAAGCGTGGACTAAGTCTAAACACTTCCAGTTACAGCACTCTTGTGCAGTTGTTTTAATGTTGGTAGCCAAAATTTTTCAAACGGAAAATATTCCCGCAAGTTATAGTAGATTTTCTGTTGATGATGTGTTCTTCTGCCAGGTAACATAGAGATTTCAGAGGATAGCTGCAAGCAATATGAAGTGATGTATTCCCCGTCTTGTGAAGCCACAAGAAATGGCACAGGAGTTGATGAAGCATCTGCAAACGGAATTGTCCTAGCAACTGAAGATCTTGGATACCAAATCTATGAAGTGTCTGGTGAGTCTACACGTTGGAATACCACTGTCAGTATCCGTAATCCTCTGAAGCCTGCTGCAGTTATGATGCGACTTGTAAATTCAGAGTAGGAACTGTGAAATATTCCCTTCGGGGTGTGTTCAAGAAGATCCGAGCCAGCCATAGCGCTTGGCCAAGTAGGTGGAAACCATGGGATCTAAGTCATTTTGAGAGTGTGTAGCATGGAGATCTTTAGGCACATCTCATGACCTCTTCTTCTTGGTCCTACCCAGAAGGATTCATTCTTTTACTGTACAATGAAACGTGTTCTTGCATTGTCTTCTTGCCATGAAACTGAGATCTGATGGTGAATGTTGTAACTTCTAGGTGAAGGCAGCTCCACTGTGTCCACAGAAGACATTAGAGAATGTTTGAAAAAGCAACTTGAATTCTGCTTTTCACGGTACAGTACAGTTAATTCAACTTTGTGTAAACCCTTTTATTAAAATTGTTGACAGATTTTTCCCTTTTTTGGCTTGGTACATGCTGTCATCTTCATAAAAATGTTAACTGAGAGAGTTGGTTGTGATTTGAACAAGATTTGCTAAAATGCTGTAGAAACCCTGTGGTACCTTTCAACTGCTTCAGTCCTGTCCACGTGTCCTTGTCCTTCAATGAGAAGCGAGTGTGACTTCTGTGCTTCCCAGTGGCACCACGTTGAAATAATTTAGCTGTGTATTACCAGAAGAGTTCGCTTTGGCAATATCCTTTTTCCAGACTGAAGTGCAGAGCACTGTAACTTTTGTTAAGTTTTTTAATTATCTTACTCTGCTTTGTGTTGATCTGCTAGGATTTTTTTCCAGGAGAGAGAATCTTGAGTACGTTTTGGCTAGAGTTAGCTGTGCATGGTGTTGGTGCATATTTAAGCCTGCGGTTATCCTGTTGTTTTGAAGCTTCTGTAAGTAAAGTTCAGGATTTTTTAAAAATTGTGAACTTATGTCTTTTTAGTGAGAATCTTTCGAAGGATCTCTACTTGATGTCTCAAATGGATAGCGATCAGTTTGTTCCAATATGGACAATTGCCAACATGGAAGGTATTAAGAAGCTGACAACTGATATGGACCTTATTCTTGAAGTTCTGAGATGTAAGTCTGGGTGTTTGGTGTCCGTATTAGCAGAACAAAAATCCCTCCGTGCTTTGGAGAAATGTATTGGTCCCTTAGCTGGTAATGGCACGTTGTGCTGGTAAATGGTGGCAGAGATAAGTGGCTGTTGCAGACTCCTGAATTCTCGTTATGCTTTATAATAATCTGCCTAAATCTGCCCCAGTAAGAGGCTACTCTAAGATACTGCTAGCAGTGAAAGTCTTACTCTGAGAGTAAGCCTAGTCTTCTGATTCAGCGCAAAACTTTACTAGAAATGATAAAACTAGAAAAAGCTTATGCAAAAAAGTTAGCTAGAATTATTCTGACATACTGTGCTGTGCTGATTCTGCACATGGCTGCTTCTGGAAACAGTTGTAAGTGAAATTTTAAAGTCTCTATTCTGACTTGATTTCCTTCCTCTTGCTTGAACTTTTCCTGTTGGGGCTCTGTCTAGGAATGTTTTATATCCTCTTACTTGAATTTGAGCTGGGAGGGAATTGAATCTGGGACTGAACTTTTTAGATACCTGAGCTGTAGATGGAGGCAGCATCAGACAAACAGCTAAAATGTACTGAAGATCTAACGGGCTGTAGCTTGTAAAACAGTCCTTCACCCCGAATTCAAGAAATCTGGTTTCTTAAGCAGTCCACCGCAGTTCTTTGTCCCAAGCTGGATGATGGAGTCCAGTACTGGTGAGGTGTTTTGCGATGCGCGATGTCCAGTATTAAGCCAACTTTTATATTCTAATTTTAGCTTCTCCTATGGTACAAGTGGATGAGAGAGGGGAGAAAGTTAGACCAAACCACAAACGATGTATTATCATCCTCCGTGAGATCCCTGAAACAACACCTATAGAGGTAAATAATAGGCTTTTATTTCTTTCTATTCTATTTGATGTTTGTGGAAGGTATCTTCAGCAGTGCTTCAAACAGCAAAATGTTGCGTAAAAGGTCAACTGGTATTTAATTTGATTAAACAGATACCTTTCTTGTAAACCACAGAAGTGATCTACTCTGCCTGGATGTATTGTCAAAACAGCCAAAGGCAAAAACTTGTTGTTGTTGTTATCCCTTCCCATTATTTACTGATGTATTAAGTAAATAAGTAAACTTTTTTCCACCAAAAATTGAGCTAGCTACGCTTTTCTGGAAGGAAGTTTGAACTGGTCTCTTTTCAGATCCGAAAATAAAATCAGTCCAGGGCATAGCTTGGAGTTCAGGCTGAATTTTTGTCACGGTGGTAACTTTACTTGGAGTCAGATGGCTGTTGTGGCAGCAAGAAATGTTATTAAACATTTCTCATTCATTGTGACCCAGCGTGAGCTGAGCTCATTATGTTCAGAGAAGGGAGGATAATAAAATTCCTACTGATATTTGGCTAACAGAATGATTTAGTTCTTTGTTTCCTAAAGTTGTAACACAGGGTGTTTGTCTACTAGCATTTTTAATTAGTTCTTTTAATGCAAATGCTGAACAGCTGCTTTGCCCTCTCTTTAAAATCTGATTATTGCAAAGGTGTCAGGTTGCCTTGATTTAGAAATATTTCTTGGAATCATTCTTGTCTTAGATGACTCTTCTGATTGAAGGCCATGGTTTTGCTACCTCTTTCATATGGAAATATCGCCAGTATGATGCTGATCATGATTTTCTTACCAGATGGGCCTGCTATTTTTTTATTCGGGGATCTCAGTAGGCTGGGCTAGTGTTCTTGGGCTCAGAAACAGGTAGAGGATAATTCAGTGTCTGGCAGACCCATGAAGGAAATAAAAGAACACCCCTGATGGAGGGAAAATTGCAGCTGAGGAGCTAGAGTGTAAGCTTTTGTTGGTTTGCTGTTCAATTTACAGCTTAGAGCTAGGTCCCCTAACTGCCTGACTTCTTCTCTCCCCTAGGAGGTTAAGGCTCTGTTTAAAAATGAAAACTGCCCCAAAGTGATAAGCTGTGAGTTTGCTCACAACAACAACTGGTACGTTACATTCCAGTCAGATACAGATGCACAACAGGTAAGGCTGCCTTCAGCTGTTAATGGCATCTCGGTTTTGTTATTAATACTTGACTTGCTCTAGAGAATTGCACGCATGCTTCCTGCAGCTAAAAGAAATGTTTATTTACTGATCCCCCCTAACCCAAAGGTTATTGCAAATTCTAGTTAATAAGAGAAAAAAGCGGAGAGGTTGCAGGGTTATAGTTCCCTTGTCTGCCTCGTGCCTCAGTACTCTCTGGCCTTAACTGACATCTCGTATCCTGAATTTGAAGTGTTAATGAGTTTAGTTGGGCTAGTGGGGAAGCACATTGCTATGTATTCGTCTTAAATCACGTAATGATAAATCATGCGATATCCTTGGAGATGTACAATTTTCTCAAGGTATTCTAATGGTAATCTTTGTTGTGTCCGCAGGCGTTTAAATACTTAAGGGAAGAAGTCAAAACCTTTCAGGGCAAGCCAGTAATGGTAAGGCTGCTTTAAATGAGGTTTCAGTTTGTGAATTGCATGATATATTGTTTCTGTTTGAGAGCGTGCATTTGTGGCGGGGGAACAGAGGAATTGGCGGTGAGATGGTTCATAATGCTTGCTGTGTAGGCCGTTAGCTTGAATGAGCTCGGGGTAGCTTTGAAAAATTACAGTTCAGTGGCTGCTGGTTATTCACAGTGCTGCTTCCCTTGAGGTGTGAAATAGGTTCCTGTTTCGCCTTTCCTTCTCCGCTTTCCCCAGAATCTGGGTCTGCAGAGCTCAGGAGATGGACTCTTGCCATCATGGGTCTCTAGCTTGAGTTAGCCGCTCTACAAATAAGGCTGAAACAAGCTGCTTGTAGTGAGAGAGGACCTGTCGGAATTGGAGCCTGGACAGTTACTGCTGTAGAAAGCAGTGTTTATCTTAAACTTGACAGGTTCTTCAGCTAAAGCAGCGCGTGTGTCCTTCCCTTTAGCACGCTGTAAGAACGTAGTCTGTATTGATTTTTATCAGAGTTTTTATTTGTAAGCAGTAATCGACCTACTTCCTTTTCACATCCCTTCTTTTATCGTTTCAATAGGCAAGAAAGATTCCAAATTCTGCTGCTCCTTTTCTCCCAATTAATGTGTGTGATGCGATTTGATATCTTGCAGGCAAGGATAAAAGCCATCAACACATTTTTTGCTAAGAATGGTTACCGGGTAGTGGATTCCAGTGTCTATACTCAGCCAGTTCAAACACAAGCACAGTTTGCCTCGCCACTGTTTATGCAGCCTGTATATAGTCCTCAGCAGTACTCTATTTACAGCATTGTGCCTCAGACGTGGTCTCCAAATCCCGCACCTTACTTTGAAACACCACTGGTAAGTGACAGCTGATGAAAATGAGGGGAGGCAGCCCAAAACATCAGTAACGATTTGGTTGACAAATCAGTAGGGTTAGTGGGCTTTTCAGCTGTAGAATGCACAGGTTTCCTAGTCAGATCCCTCTGGTTTATGATTCTTCATGTTAAGTCATGGACCTGGTAAAGCAAGACTGTCATGCCGCATGTCTCACCATTGGCTGCCATTCGTGTCAAGACATTTTGGTGTGAAATTCCGTGATCCAGTAGCTGGTGTTACTGGGAGAGCTTTGTAGCTCTTGCAGGAGGACTCTGATGCTAAAGTAGATGTGCAGACTGTTAACCTGGTGGGGTTTGCTCTGTAGTAGTATGTTTCCAACGTACGATTACAACAAAGTGCGGTAGCCCAGCATAAAAGTACAAACGGACTAGATAAATAACTGCCGAAGCTCATCTGGTAAAACTGCAAACGTTTTTCTTTTTAGTTCAGCCATTGAGACTGTTCTGTCTGTTGCAGGCCCCCTTCCCTAACGGTGGATTTGTGAATGGCTTTAATACACCAGGATCATATAAAACAAATGCTGCTTCTTTGAGTATAGGTCGCCCATTCCATAGAAATCGGTAAGATAGCTCTGTCAGTTGTTTGCTCTCTGAGAACTTACAGTGTTGAGATCCTGATGTGTTCCTTGCACTTGTGAAATGCAGTGCCTTCTGGTGGGGCTAGGTTACTTGTTTTGTTTATCAAATATGTATGACGTTTTTCAACTCGATTTATAAAATAAAATTAAAATCAAGGTGGCAGCTTAAGACCCTAAAATAATGGACATACGTGCTGGAGAGAGCAAAGGTAACTCCTTTAACAGCCTCAGAGGAATTTCTGCAGACAAACAAATAACTTCCTCTTAAGGTAATACTTCTAATTATGTTTGTTACATGCAGATTATAAACTCCTGCAGCACAAACGTAAGCTTCTCCTGTTGTGTGATTAGTCTTGCAGAGAGCCATTCCGTTTATGCAGCTGAGAGTTGCATGCCCTGACTGCTGTATGCTAAAACTGCTTGATGCTGAGTCTGTAACTGTAATTTATTTGCTTTATCCCCATCTTTCCTGATAACTGTAAGGACTCGGATATAAACACTGGGGAGGAGGACGCAGCTTTGTATTTGCTGGAACAGTACTCTCTACGTACAATGGAGTAGTAATCTCTTTGTGTGGGTGGAAATTGTTTTATTTGCAAGCGCTCTCTCTGTACTCAGCATGCAGGCTGGTAGCATGGGAATTGCGTTTTATACTGTTTGAGAAATCGGTTGACAACTGCCAGTACCATCAGAGGGTTTGTGATGCAGTTCAGTTTTGTGGCTGTTGGCGGAAGGTGAACTTCGGAACTTGGTCTGCGGTGACTCAAGTGTCTTAACACAGGCCACGAAGCTGGTAGCATGACTCAGAAGATGGGGCAGCCGCTTCAGTTACAGCTGCTCAGCTCTCAACTAAGAGCTTTTTGTAAAGGTGGTTTCGTTTTTTGCCTTAAATTGTGCCCAAACTTGAAGCCTGTAAAACTCTGACGTATACGGATCCTCTCAGAGGCATTGATGCAGAAACTGTACACGAATTGTATGTACCCAAACATTAACATCTTGAAATGCCCTCATGTTCACTGCTGCCTTACAGAAAACATCTGTGTAATCCTTAAGCTTTTAAACTTCTCTTGGTTGCGCTAAGACTTTCCTTTGTGAAACTTCAGTCATTGTGAAGTTACAGCTTTAGGGTCAAGTGTGTACAGGTTCTGCTGGTCCGTCGTGGTTGTCTTATCTTTCCTGCCAATCTTGCTCAGCCTTTGTGCCAGCACAGAGCTCTGTGTTTGCGGTAATAAATCTTCATCGTCTGGAAGCAGACATTAGTTATGCTTAAGCAGGATTCCTTTGCAAACAGGAGGCTGCTAAGGCAACAGTGAGGCAGCCTTGAAAGTTTGGCCCAGTGATGATCAAGTATCGCGCTAAGAGAGAACAGGTCCAACAGTCGACTGTCTGGGCAGCCTGCACTTCATGCTTTTCCTTCTTTTTGCTCTCTCACACCATCTCTCCTTCTCTCTGCTTTTTTTCATCCTTGTCTTTCCTTGCCTTTTTCTGCTTTGCTCTTCTGCCCAGACAAGATTGTGGCCTTCTCAATGACGGGTAAGATTATGAGATCTGAGGGCTGAATAATGACTTTTAAGAACAAATTGAACAAAATGGAAGAATTTAGCTAGCTTACCTCCTTGTCCCTGTGGTCTCTGCTGATGGAAAACATAACCTTATTGGGGCCTTAAAACTGGTTCTTAATGCTTCTTGAAGCTGTGAAGTATGGATCAATCAGCGCATCTTCTCTCGAACTGCAGAAGAGTTCATTCGGAGAGGTTCATCCAGCTGCTGCTTTTGGGTTTCTGTCCTGGCTCATTACACTTGATTTGTTTTGTCATACAGGCAGTTAAGTATTGGATTTTTCTCTGTAGCTAAACGTTTGTTTAAGCCAGTCACATTTATTTTGCCCTGCTTTGCTGCAGCGTCTTGTGGGAAAGGAACATTGAGTCTTTGTGACAGAGAATCCTCAGTACTCATATTGGCTAAATTGATATTTTTCTATCCAGCCATCTAAAAGGTAACTTAAAATGTCTCTGGCAAAGCAGATTCATTTGACCACTCAAAATTGGGCTATTAAAAGGTGATTTTTGTTCTGCTTTCTGCTTGCATAAGAAATGCTGCAAAACTTTCAGCTGTTAATTGCAAGGATATGGAGAAGCGCATCAGATAGCGGTGGGGTTGATTTTTAAAATGCCACAGGACGATGGCTGAGCAGAGGTAGGAATCTGCTGCTGCTTATAGCCACATCACTTACTGCTGTTCTGATTTAGTGCTAACAAATGATCATTTGTCATTTGTTGGATTCTTCTATTTTGCTTTCTTTTCCTCCCAACTTAAGTTTTCTGGCCAAGTGGGAGAGAACAAGTTTATGGGTGGAAGCTGGAAGGAAACTACCTCTCTGTTAGGCAGTCCAGGGTCTGTGGCATCCACAACATGCCTTTCCATATTCGCTTAGCTTACGGAAACCAAAAGCTGCATGATTTATGGTCTGTTGAAAGAAAAGACCCTTTTTCGGGCTGCAGGCTGCTCCTTGATGACTCCGTAAGAGTTGACGTAGTCAAGTTAACTTCTCCTCCCGGACAGGAATCATACTGTGGCTGGCAGTGGGAGAATTTCTTCTGATTGCATGGAATGTTATCTTGGCATTGTTTAAAAACAATAAGCATGCAAAATCCTCCTCCTGTCCCTAAATTATGAGATGTGCAGGGTTAACTGGAGGGGAAGGATACAGTTTCAAGGTCCTTGTCTCACTTGCTGAAGCTGGTTGGTGCTGCATGGAAAAGACAGTGAGGTGCAGAAGTGGAGAGTAGTCTGAGGCACCTGAATGCTGCTCCAGAAAATGGTTCCGTGTTATGGTAGGTCAGAGTTTTTCCGGGTAATTCTGCGTTGAAGACCCTGAGCCTTAACTTGCAGAAGCAGTGAGCATGCACAGCTGCATCTGTGTTCAAAGGAAATAGAGCTTTAATGCAGAATAATCAATAACTGGGTAAAATGTCTGGGGTCTTGTAGACTGGAGAGTCAGTGTTGTGGGTGTTTGACAACAGGAGCGGTGAGACTGAGATCCAAGCTCTTTGGGGGGGTGGGCTCTCTGCTACCCTGGTCTTACCGCCCCTGTTCTCTTCAGCCTACTTAGTCTTCACTGGCTCCTGGCTTCTTGTTTCAGTTCAGTATTTTTGCTTGTGGCCAGATGAGTTTGTTCCTCAGGCTTGGCTTACTTCTCCAGATAGCTTTCAAATACCCCGTGCCTGTGCTGCAGGCCCAGACAAATCAAGAATCCCTCTTCGTGTTCTTCTGGCTCTTCTACCACCCCTAGGTTTTGGAGGTTTTTTGTTGGTTGGTTTGGTTTTTGGGATTTTCCCCCCCCTCTTCGGTATCTGTTGGGCAGTGATCTCGATGCTTTCTTCAAATGCCAACACTTGACGGGAGGGGAGGTTGCAAGAAAGCTAGAACAAAAGGAATAGATGGAGGTAAGGAAGAAAAATTCCTTTGTTCTTGACAAATATATGTAGGAAACAACTCCTGTAATGGAGTTCCAGTACTTACTGACCTCCTCCTTTCTTGTCAGCTACGAATTAACTGTAGTTGGTGGTAGTTTTGCATCTTGCTCTTTAAACTCTGGATTAGACAGCTGCTGCTCTGTGTCCTGCAGCGTGAAGCCTCACTTCCGATCGTCTAACAGCTCCGAACATGCTGTGGAGGGTCCAGCTGCCGTCAGTACCATGCCAGTGGGGGATGGACCACTGAACAGAACCAACTCAAGGAATTTTGTTATGGAGCGACATAACAGTACGTTAACTGGGCACCAAGACCAAGGTTATTCCCAGAAGGATTCTCCTACCGCACAGATGGAGCAGAACGGAGATTATGGCATCGGCAGGGGCAGGTAAAGAACTCTGTGTGCTGGTTTTTTGCTGTAACACAGCCATGCAGTTGGGAGATGGTGTTGGAGGTTCAGGTGACTCGCATGAGCCAAGGATCACGAACTGTTGGCACAGTATATATTTCTGTAAAGACCAACCAGGAGAAAATTGACATTTAAATAAACCAGGCGTGGTAAATACTTCACTGGGAAGCGTGAATGCTTCCGGCTTAACTGCACAGCTCGTAGTTACTCTGCAAACACCTTGCAGTAAGATAGCGAGGTGTCTTTATTTCAGAATAACTGCCTGATTTGTCCCCAGAATTAAAACGGTGGCTGAAGTAAAGTTGGTATTTCTATTGCTGTAAATAATAATCAAATCCTTGGTTGGGGAATTTGATGCTCCCAAACATTGTAAGATCAACTGGTTTTAGTTTGTGTCTGTTAATTCAGGGTTTAGACACTTAAAAAGAAGTGACCAAGACAGATATGTGAGAAATCAGATGAATAAGTTTATTACTATAAAATTATAGGGTACTATTCTACAATATTATAGTCTAATTGTCACTGTGCTTGTTCAGATGCAATGCTCTAGGGTACCTCCTCCACGGGGAGAGAAAAGAGAAATTGTTTCCTGTATTGGCTATGTTCCAAGAGTGTAAGAGCTTTGACCCCTCCTGAAGATGGAGAACATCCCAGAACTGTATCTTGAGAAACATCAGTAGGCTGCTGTAAATCCCCCGCCACAGGCTCCCCTTTGTGCAGATGAGTGCGCACTTCAGCTGGATGAATGTGCTGACTGACTTTTTTTTTTTTTTTTTGCCTTTAAAGGAGGAACGTTTTCAGAGGTCGGAGGAGACGAGAAGATGACCGGGTTTCAGTAAGTTCCACTTCCCTTATCGCGAGGAGTTGCACAAAGGTCAATGAGTTGGCTTTGCGTTTATTGAAGGAATGGCACGGTTCTTAAATTTTTAGACTATATTGTGGGTGTTCAGTGTTTCTAGGAAGTTCCCTGACACTTGCTCAGTGCTTTTAACGCCGGGTGTTACGGCTCTGTTAACGGGTATTTTCCTTCTCTAGAGACCTCAGCCTTCAGCAGAAACAAAGACTCAGACACCAAAGTTCGACTTGCTAGCATCAAATTTCCCACCTTTGCCTGGCAGCACAGCAAAAATACCGGGAGAGCCTGTGCTGGAGAGCAGGATGTCCGATATCGTTAAAGGAGTCTGCAAAGAAAAGGTACCCGCTCTTGCTTCTGGCACGCACACGGGAGCATGCACGCGCTGTCTCTCCCTTCTCCTCTGCTCAAAGAATCGCTTTATGCTAGAGCTGCACATTAGAGTGCTTTAGGCCCAAACATCATGCTGTGTTTGTAATGTAATAGTGCGTTTTCTGTCTTTCTGTTCTTGGATTTCCTTGGCTTTTTCGGGTGTTTAGCTGAAGCTCCTGTAATTACACTGTTGTAAGCTCGGTACTGTTTTGGAATAAAGCAGGCAAGTGAGGAGTGTTGGCTGTTGAAGTAGGAACAGTTTGTTCGTAGGCTAGGCAAGGCCTTTTTCCAGATGAATCTGTTATTTGAGCTGGTGGGACTAGGTAGCGATAATCGGGGTGATACAGCCTTACTTCTCGTTTTATCCGCTATTTGTTTTACCCATAGGAAAGGGTGATTGCTTTCGAGGCGATGCTCCAAAAGAAGTGGAATTCCTATAATCAGTACTTGAGCAGCCTTTGGAAATACCTCACCTTTCAGATGCCTCGAACTGGCATATTGAGGAGCAATTTAAGCACATCTGCAATCTTCCCATGTTTTGCAATTTATGCTTTGTCTGCAGGAAAGCAAAGATTTGCTGCCCAGCTGTCCAGCTCCTGCTCAGGAAGAACAGGCGCACAGCGCTGTCCAAGAGCCTGTGGCGAGTGTGAGTTCACCAAGTGAGACTGAAGCTGTGGTGGTAAGGTACGCAGATGGCTTGAATCAAGAATATTAAAAGGTCTATCAAGGTGGCAATGATGTTTGTTGTTTCTTCTCTGTCTGTGGTAGGGAGCTTCTCTAGAGGCCCCTAGATATGGAAATAACAATCGTGGTGGTAACGGCATTGCCGTCCTGTTCTGTAAAAAACGCAGTTGTGGCTTCAAAGAAAGAAAATACTTTCCCCAACAGTAATATTTCTGTTAGTAGGTTTTAATGTTAAATTGTTCTTGATTTAGCAGCACGGGTCAGCCAGAGAGCAAACCGGAAGAAGTGTCTGCTCAGAAAGATGTTACAGGCCACGCTTCCCCACCGGTGTCTGTCTCTCCCGTCAGTGCTGCAAAGCCGCCGAGGACAAATACCACTTCACCTTCTACTAATGCAAGTGCAGCTCCTGCTTTGCTGATGCAGGTAAGGCAGGGGCGAGTGGGGAGCATGGGGAGCTTTCTCTTGGATGTGCTGAGGTAGCACCTGGGACCTTCTCCGGTGCAGTTTGCCACAGCTGTGGTGTGATCGCTGACTGTACGTGTTCTTGCTGCTGTGCCCGGGACGGTCTGGAGGAGCGTAGCGTGGTTATCCCGGTATGTAAACCTTGCTCTTCTCCCTTGGTCCCAAAGGAGCCGCGCAAGCTAAGTTATGCTGAAGTTTGCCAGAAGCCCCCAAAGGAGCCTCCTCCAGTTCCTGTTCAGCCCCTTAGGGAGCATCGCACCAACATAGTTCCCCCTGCCAAAGCTGAAGAGAATGGCACACCTGAGAAGGCTTCGGAGAAGGCTCAAGACAAGGCTGAAGGTCGAATGAAGGATTATTCTGGGTTCCGAGGCAACGGGCCTCCCAGGGGAGCTGCTGGGAAAATCAGGGAACAGAGGCGCCAATTTGGACGCAGATCATCGCCTCAGGGAGCACCTCGACGTATCGGCAAGGAGCAGTATGTGCCACCCCGGTCACCAAAGTAACACTTGTCCAGCCAATTATTCTCTATTTAATTTGAGCTGTGGACTAATTGAGCAGCAAAGGAGACTGTGAGAAAGAAGTATTCATGAAGGGGAATACTGAACTGGAGCGTGGCTTGTGTGGAGAAGTTGTGGAGGGTCCCAAAATTCATCTCTAAAAGTGATTTCACAAATGCTGGAGGATTCCAATCAATATAAATATAGAGATTATAATTTTTGTATTTTTGTTTTTAATTTGCAGAGGGTTTCCTGCTTGAAATCAGTTTTGGGGTTGTGAAACTAGCGTTTTGACAAAGTGAAAGAATATGAATTGACAAATTAACCTGTCCCTCAGTGTAGGAGGAAAAGGATAAGAGAATATTATTTTTGAAAAATGAGCATTTCTGTAAAATTAGAACTTTTTTTAACCTATTTAACATTTGGCTCGTCGGATGATGTGTCTGCCATTGATGGCCTTGCATTGCAGAGCACGTCTGCGGCTGAGGTGCTTGGTCAGCGTGTGAGTGGATTGAGTGCAGCCAGATACTGTTGTCATGACTTAGTCACTGATGATAAAAACTGAATGTACTACTGTAGTAAACTTTGTGTTTCCAGCTTGAAGTGTAGTCTCTTGACCTTACTAATAATTCATTCAGCAAGCTTTTTAAACTATAATTTTTACACGATACTGGATTGTAGATCAGAGCACATGGACAGCAAAAATTGTCTTGTAGACGCAGTTGGAAGGAGGCAGAAGGGAGCACGTCAGAATTTTTAATTTGCCCTTTCTCCTCGCCTCCTTTTGAGGGCAACTTCTTAGGTTTGTGGGCTTTGGTTGGTTTTCTTTTTTTTTTTTTTTTTTTTTTTTTTTCTCTTTTTCCTTGCTTACTTTCTCTAATCTCTTTATTACAGACTGTTGTGCATTTATCTCGGTATGTTTTCCTGAGGCAGGCCCAGTATAGGATTGGTGGGTGGCTACACAGTACGTGATGTTAGCTTCGTGGGGGAAGAGGCTGGAATTCCGGTTGCAGATGTGGAATTCTGCCGTGCAGGTGGGAGCTCTGGGCACAAGAGTGCTGCGCACCCCCCCCCAGGGTTAAGCTGATGTCTCTCTGAATGGCTAAAGAAATGGCGGAGGGGTTGGGGGTGCTGTGGGGGGGTTGCAGATGTGGAATTCTGCCCTGCAGGTGGGAGCTCTGGGCACAAGAGTGCTGCGTGCACCCCCCAGGGTTAAGCTGATGTATCTCTGAATGGCTAGCGAATTGCAGATGTGTCTGGGTTGTCTGTGTGCTGCCCCATCTTTATGTTCTGGAGTAGGGTATTGGATGCTGGATGCCAGAAATCAGGGTTTGTCTCTACTGGGAACTCACTGTTTACAGCTGATGTAGTAGCAACTGACTTCTTTTAACTGTTTAAAGTGGAGTTAAAGGTAAAGAGTTAATCAAAACCCCTCGTGTTCAGAGAAGCTCTTTGGAAGGTAGCGTCTTGCCTAGCTGTATGCTGACTAAATTTGCAACACTATTGTGTAGTAAGTGGTTAAGTCGAAAGGTGATTACCGTAATGACTGAAATAGGAAAATTCAGTGCATTCATCTGCCAAAATCAGCATGCCAGGGTTCAAAGTTCTGTATAAAGTGTTAGGGAAAAGTAGCTTCCAGCAGTAAGAATCACACTTCTTTTTTTCTTCTTTTTTTAGTGAATAGCAAGTGTACAAATTTAAAGTCGTAAGTTGTGAACACTGGAAAACTCAATTGTGATATATACCGTAAACATCTTAGTAATATATGCTAGTGTTGCCATTAGAATGAATGTAAGTGGCAGTTAAAATAACTGTGAAAACTTTCATCTTCTGATTTCTTAGCCAGATAACCCGTGGCGACTTCTTATTCAGTAGGCATTCTCTATCAACTGCTTTGAGAACACTCATATCTATTTTTATAAATATATATATAAAGCCAGAGTTGTCATTTCTCTAACTTATTATTCAGCTTGGCGATTGCTTTGATTTGATTCATAACACAATATAATGTATTTATGCAGTTAACTGTTCATTTCTACGCATGTTATATATATACATATATATATAAAAAAAAAAAAAACCAAAATCATTATTCTTTTTTAAACTACCTGTACTGGGTTTGGGAGGTTTTTTTTAATTTAGTAAAAAAATCGTTGATCACGTCTACAGTTTAGGGATGCTTACAGAACCCTTCTCCATTTATTTCGATAATGCTACGTTTGTTGGAATGATAGAGAAGTTTAAATACTTAAAAGCGTTGAAGTTCTGAAATGAAATCCAAGTTAACTGTTAAGTCATTTTAAAGGCGATAAACAATTACTGCAGTCAAACTGGAAAAACACAAACCTGTATGATAGCCGCAGGTGTTTAGGGTGGACGTGCACGGTCACCGCGAAGTTGGGGAAGCGCTGGGGTGCGGACGGCTGTTGTGGGCTGTTTGCTGTTCCGAGCAGGAGCGGTTTGGGACGAGGCTCGTGCAGGTGCCGATCGCTGGCCTCCGTGGCAGGGGCAGCGTGCGAATTCTGATCCACGCAGGCATCCGCTTTCAGTGCCGCACGTAGAATAACCTTGCGGTGCTGAAAGTGTCTGAATTTTTAACAGTTGTGAAATGTAACTTCTTCATTTATTAGTTGGGGAGGGGGAAAAAAAATTAACCGCGGTTCAATCTTTCTTGTAAGGGTGATTGGAAAAACTTGACCGTGGACAGGATGCTTTGTACGTCCTGGGTGTGCGTTTTCCAGCAGCAGATTATGGCTCTGTATGCAAATAAGTCTGTAAACCTGTTGGCTTTTTCCAGCATATTCAAACTTTTATCAGGTTAGGGCGCTAGTAATTATTTATTTAATAACCCACTTGCAAGGATTTAACATTAGTGTTTCCCTTCCCCCCCCCTCCCCCGCTGCCATTTGTAACTGTGGTTTTGGTTTTTTTCCTTTCTTTTTTTTTTTTTTTTAAACCTACTGCTAAAACTGCACCATCATACTGTGCCAGGCTAACTTTTTTTTTTTTTTTAAACCTACTGCTAAAACTGCACCATCATACTGTGCCAGGCTAACTTTTTTTTTTTTTTTAAACCTACTGCTAAAACTGCACCATCATACTGTGCCAGGCTAACTTTTTTTTTTTTTTTAAACCTACTGCTAAAACTGCACCATCATACTGTGCCAGGCTAACTTTTTTTTTTTTTTTAAACCTACTGCTAAAACTGCACCATCATACTGTGCCAGGCTAACTTTTTTTTTTTTTTTAAACCTACTGCTAAAACTGCACCATCATACTGTGCCAGGCTAACTTTTTTTTTTTTTTTAAACCTACTGCTAAAACTGCACCATCATACTGTGCCAGGCTAACTTTTTTTTTTTTTTTAAACCTACTGCTAAAACTGCACCATCATACTGTGCCAGGCTAACTTTTTTTTTTTTTTTAAACCTACTGCTAAAACTGCACCATCATACTGTGCCAGGCTAACTTTTTTTTTTTTTTTAAACCTACTGCTAAAACTGCACCATCATACTGTGCCAGGCTAACTTTTTTTTTTTTTTTAAACCTACTGCTAAAACTGCACCATCATACTGTGCCAGGCTAACTTTTTTTTTTTTTTTAAACCTACTGCTAAAACTGCACCATCATACTGTGCCAGGCTAACTTTTTTTTTTTTTTTAAACCTACTGCTAAAACTGCACCATCATACTGTGCCAGGCTAACTTTTTTTTTTTTTTTAAACCTACTGCTAAAACTGCACCATCATACTGTGCCAGGCTAACTTTTTTTTTTTTTTTAAACCTACTGCTAAAACTGCACCATCATACTGTGCCAGGCTAACTTTTTTTTTTTTTTTAAACCTACTGCTAAAACTGCACCATCATACTGTGCCAGGCTAACTTTTTTTTTTTTTTTAAACCTACTGCTAAAACTGCACCATCATACTGTGCCAGGCTAACTTTTTTTTTTTTTTTAAACCTACTGCTAAAACTGCACCATCATACTGTGCCAGGCTAACTTTTTTTTTTTTTTTAAACCTACTGCTAAAACTGCACCATCATACTGTGCCAGGCTAACTTTTTTTTTTTTTTTAAACCTACTGCTAAAACTGCACCATCATACTGTGCCAGGCTAACTTTTTTTTTTTTTTTAAACCTACTGCTAAAACTGCACCATCATACTGTGCCAGGCTAACTTTTTTTTTTTTTTTAAACCTACTGCTAAAACTGCACCATCATACTGTGCCAGGCTAACTTTTTTTTTTTTTTTAAACCTACTGCTAAAACTGCACCATCATACTGTGCCAGGCTAACTTTTTTTTTTTTTTTAAACCTACTGCTAAAACTGCACCATCATACTGTGCCAGGCTAACTTTTTTTTTTTTTTTAAACCTACTGCTAAAACTGCACCATCATACTGTGCCAGGCTAACTTTTTTTTTTTTTTTAAACCTACTGCTAAAACTGCACCATCATACTGTGCCAGGCTAACTTTTTTTTTTTTTTTAAACCTACTGCTAAAACTGCACCATCATACTGTGCCAGGCTAACTTTTTTTTTTTTTTTAAACCTACTGCTAAAACTGCACCATCATACTGTGCCAGGCTAACTTTTTTTTTTTTTTTAAACCTACTGCTAAAACTGCACCATCATACTGTGCCAGGCTAACTTTTTTTTTTTTTTTAAACCTACTGCTAAAACTGCACCATCATACTGTGCCAGGCTAACTTTTTTTTTTTTTTTAAACCTACTGCTAAAACTGCACCATCATACTGTGCCAGGCTAACTTTTTTTTTTTTTTTAAACCTACTGCTAAAACTGCACCATCATACTGTGCCAGGCTAACTTTTTTTTTTTTTTTAAACCTACTGCTAAAACTGCACCATCATACTGTGCCAGGCTAACTTTTTTTTTTTTTTTAAACCTACTGCTAAAACTGCACCATCATACTGTGCCAGGCTAACTTTTTTTTTTTTTTTAAACCTACTGCTAAAACTGCACCATCATACTGTGCCAGGCTAACTTTTTTTTTTTTTTTAAACCTACTGCTAAAACTGCACCATCATACTGTGCCAGGCTAACTTTTTTTTTTTTTTTAATGGGGGGGGGGAATAACCAAGTAAATATAAAGGCTGTGAAAACCATAGTTTTGTGTGCAAGTTCTCCTGCAGTACTTGTATTGCATGGCAAACATTAACTTAGATGGGCTAGCTGCTACATTCTCATCCCCAGGATGGGCTCAGGCAAGTTGTCGTGTCTCTCCCCACCAAGTTTGCCTGTTCCGA